AATAAAAACAGTTCAACACCATTTCCAGCTGACGACACCACCGAACCAGCTAAGCGTCACTATCTCACCCTTCAGCCCCATACACACATCCTCACACGCTTCATATCACACGTAACACGAACTCTCTAGGCCTGTATTATAGACACGTCTTATCTGCAAGCGCCACGTCACTTATGTATGAGGAGCCGTATTTGCGTACGTCTGACGTCCGTTGAGTACGACGCCCTTAGGTGCGGGAATTTTTCGCGTTTCTCTGTTTTCGTGTACCCTCACATATTTACTGCGTAATGTAGAAAGTGCCTTTTTTGGTGAGGTAAAACGTTGCGGTGACAAAGCATTACATAGGGCGGGGAGAAAACACCGGGGAAAGCTGCCCTTGTTTTTCTCCCTTCTCCCTTCCCCTCCCCCCCGCCTCACCCGTCTCCTAGGCCTCACCTTTGTTCCTGAATTTCGTGGTATTTTGAGGTAGCTGCTTCGGGTGCGGTGCAGTTCCCACAGGTTCTTTGAGGCAAACAGGTTCAGTTTCGCAGCACTGTGAAGTTCATGAAGCGGAAAAATTCTGAAACTCGGCCCAGAACAGATGCTGGAGTGGTTTTCATGGTTTCAGCAGGGTACACAGCGGGCGTGATGCGTGAAGATCGTGCCAAGGCGAACTCGCAAATGGGCCAGCATGCGTATCTGACGCGATTCTGGAACGAACTTACCGATGAGGAGCGGAAGCGGTTGCTGGAGCAGTTCAAATCGTTCAAAATTTCCGAATTCACCAAAATGTTCGAGCAGACGTTCGAGCCTGACGTGGTGTGTTGTCACTCGTTCACTTTTTTTTTGTGAATTTTTTCAGTTCATACGTATAGCAGTGCGAAAATAGATGTGCTAAAATTGCTGTATTGTTGCAGAAAAACAATGATATTGTACCGATTGATATGGATCATTATGCGGTGGCCGAAAATATCGAACCGGAACAGATGAAACAGTACTGGGATGCAGGTGGAGCCTTTTTTGAATTTTTTTTTCTTATTTTGATGTTTTGATCACTTTTCGTTCCATTCATTATATCTACCTTCTTTTACTGGCCATTTCGAGATTATATTGGTTGTTCTGAATTATAATTTGCTTTAGTTAGAAGGCCGAAGTCTTAAAAACAAGAAAAAAAAAACAAGCAGACGGTCCAAAAGTAAATAAAATGTGGAGCGGCCAAAGTCCAAAATTTTAACAGGGGGTGAGGTTAGTTTGATAAGATGAAGTTATGATTTAAAGGGAAAATGTAGAGCAATTCATGTGGCACAAAATCGTATGACATGTTATAAAGTCATGTGGAAAGGAATATGTAGGAAGAGGTCTGACTATGTTTCATTCCTTAGCTGTAAACACAGACAGTATGAGGTGAAGCCGTATCATCTGGTGGTCGGTCTGGTAGCAAATTCATTTTTTATTTTTTCTTTCTAATGTTAGATGTGTCGCATCCCTCACATCATTAGGTGATATTTCAGCCCATTTTGTAGTTTTTTTCTTTTTTTTTTTCATACTACTTCTACTGATCAAACAGCACGAATTGGAGCAAAATAATCGAAGGGTTAAGGTTTTCGTACGGGCATCATGTGTGAGGTGTGCGAAGAGTTAATCGAATACAGAATTTCCATCGGATCCGATTTCAGGATTACAGAGTTATGCATGTTCACTAGTAGTTAACAAGCCCTAAAAATCATTATTTTATAGCTTCTGTAAAGAATAAGTTAACTTTTTCGTTGCCGTACACAAGTGATTTGTTTCTTTTTAAAGGTCTAACTGCAATAGCAGCTGGCGAAGTGGCAGTTGTGGTTCTGGCCGGTGGCCAAGCAACACGCCTTGGAGCAAAACAACCGAAGGGCACTGTTTCACTAGGATTCAATGTTAAGAACGTGGCCGATTCGTTGTTTGCATTTCAGGCGGCCCGTATTGCCCGTCTACAAGACCTGGCCGAAGCAAAAGTTACACATTTCAAGGACATCAGAATTTGGTGGTACTGTTTTTTTTTTTTGGGCTTTCTTATGCGTTGCTACAAGCATAGGCGGGTGCAGGACTGTTTCCTGAAACGGGGGGCCATTTTTCACCTCACCTTCTTCCTTCGTCACTACAAGCCTCCCCCCTCCTCCCCCCCCTGCCCCTGCGCCAACTTCCAACTCACCCTTCACTCGCCGCAATATACTCCCCCTCCCCTCCCCGTTCGTCACTACCCTTAACGGTCCGCTATTCCTTCCTCCCCTCCCCCCTCGATGGTTGCTGGAGGAGTTTCCAAGTAAACTTTTCTATAGAAAAAATACATACTGCCTGAGCCCCTGCGGGAGAGGGGGAGGCAAGAGACCCCTCGCCCCCTCCCCTCCTGGATCCGCCAATGGCTACAAAAAGCGTGCGTGTGTTTTTTGTTGTAGGTTTGTAATGACAAGTGACAAGACGCACGACGCCACTGTGAAACATCTGGAGGAAATTGTACCAGCAGCTGGGTTAACAATGAGTCAAGTGATCGTTATCAAGCAGGGCACCGTCCCCTGTTTCGACCCGAAAGGCTGTTTGTTTCTGGCAACGAAAAGTAGCATTGCTGTTTCGCCAGGTTTCATTTTTCTCGACACTTTTGACAGAGCTCTTGCAAAGTGACATTAAATAAGTTGCTCTTTCCAGATAATGAATAATAACAGGCAGTTTTCGAGGTTACTAGAGAGATAAGAATGGATAAAAACAACGAAAAATTGATGAACATTTAGTGAGCGAAAGGAAAAATAGAGAAAAAATTAATTGATTTATAAAATTGAGACAAAATGCAGCAAAAGAGGAATGTTTCGGTTCACTGAGGCGCATTTTAAGCACCCACATCTGGACGGCTGCGGTATTGTTTATTGAAATTATTGATAGGAAGAAGAGAAAAGAAGTTGCTTTTTCTTTCAGATGGCAATGGTGGCATATTACGTGCACTGGAGCCGTATCAGTACTTTTGCAGAAGTAATAACATCAAATACTTCCATGTGTATTCTGTGGATAATGTGCTCTGTCGTGTGGGGGATCCACACTTCATTGGCTACTGCATCAAGGAGGAAGCCGATTGCGCTGCCAAAGTTAGACTTATTACTGTTTGTGTGTGTATGCTTAAATTTGTCCTTGAATTTTACATCAAAGCGTGGGCCGAATAAGGGAACTAATTTAAATTTTTCAGGTTATAGAAAAAATTGAGCCATTTGAGAATTTGGGTGTGATCTGTAAAGCACCGAGTGGCATTCAGGTGTTGGAATATTCCGAAATTGCGGACGAGCTTGCGACAGCTCGAGACCAAACGGGACGTCTCAGATTTCGTGCAGGAAACATCGCAAATCATTTCTTCACCTACGATTTCTTCGAACGCGGTCAGTGAGCAAATTTATGAAACAACAGGAAACTGACGTGTGAAATTGTCTTTTCGTGCAGATGCATTTTCCGTATTACCTGGTTTCTAGTTGCGCAGTATTCATCGACGTATCTCAGCTGAGAGTCCGAACGAATAGTTCTCATTTTACATCAGAAGTTTCACTGACGTAGTCCTTGTGAACGCACTTGTTATAGAAATCTTGTTGCCCATAGGCTGCGCAGAATTACTGTTCTAATTAAGGCAGTGTTGAAATTTCATGTGTTTTTTTTTTTAGTAAAATCGTAATTTAAATTATGTTGCTGACTTTTTTTTTGATTATAGTTTGGTACGCTGATGGTCTTCTGCCTTATCATCGCGCCTTTAAAAAAATCCCGTACATTGATCGGACTACTGGCGAACTGGTGGATCCGGAAAAGGAAAATGGTTACAAATTGGAGCTATTCATTTTCGACCTTTTTAAATTTTCCGAGTAATGTTTTTATTGAATTTATTTAAAAGTTTGTATTGGAAGTCCCGTTTTTTTATGGATATGGTACATATTAGCTAGCATGCTCCCATGGAATTTTCGACGAATTGAATTGAAAATTTCGTTTGTACATTCGAGGGACTGTTAGAAATCTGCCGATTTTTAATTTAGGCAAAAGTTCTTCATTTTCGCTCCTACTTAGTCTCTTTTTTTGCTCATATTTATTCTCAGGGGAGGAGTTATGCTGAGTTTACTTCACTGTG